TATACATATACATTGAATTGTATGTTATATACTTTTGGTTTTGATGCCAAGTGCTGAAGTGCGTCCAAGGATGTTCGGATGCTTGAAGTTCAGTATGATTTGAAATCTGTGAAGTATTTGAAACCACAAAAATAAATGCATAGTATTTGTGACATCACATAATTAGTTCTAATTGTGTTGAAATGTGAGCATTTGAGGAATATGAACTATTTGCATTCAGAGCTGTCTGTGAACTTATGTAAGTCCTTATATAAAGCATGTAGTAGCCCATGTGCCATTGCTACACATTCAGTTACATAAATTACATAAACATGATACTGAGTTATAAAACTGCCTGCAAGGTGGTTATGTGGTTCATGTTTTATATTATTAGGTTTAGTGTTTTGTATTGTTTTTGGTGCAGATTGAAATATTAAATTTATGTTGTTGAGTTTTGGAATACAATGAAAGATGCTGAAGACCAGATAATACTATGCAATAAATGAATTCGCTACAAGCCTGTATAATTAACCTGCATAAGTTGTTCAACTTATGGAAAGCTTGTTCTTGTCCCATTTATCTTTCTTGACTTCTGTCTTTCATGTGTTGTAGACAAACACGACCGAATTCAGCCAATCTACTATGGAGTAGCAGTTGTTGGTCCTTAAAGTCAGTGACCTGAAAAAAAAAAAATGCTGAATTGGCAGTGAGATTGTGACTATAGACTTGTGCATGATATTTTTAGCAGGCAAAGTTTGCTTAAGAGGTCAGGGAGGTACATGAATTTGCCTTGTAATGTAAGGGTTTTGAATACTGTTGGCTTGATTGCTCTGAATTGCATTACATAATTTGTCTCAGATTTATGGTAAATATATAATGTATATAATTGACATTGCAATTTTTTTATTATTTACACTTTGTTTTTCATGTTTATATGCTAATAAGAAGATAGCAAGAACTTAATAATGTTAGTTAGTCTAATAGCTACACACATAATTATAATGTGTTCTGGTAAAATGTTAAATTTGCTTTGATGTGCTTCAAAATTAGGTTTCGAATGGTTTCTTCCATTTAGTTTTTACCAATCACTGCAGATAATGTTTTAGCCAATGTACTGTTCCCAATAGTACCTATATGATTTAGAAAGAGATATCAATATAGGTCTGTCAGTTGTAATTATATTAAAATGCAGTGTTCTGCTTTATGGCCCCCAGGCAGAGTATATCACAGGAAAGTTCACATTAATGGCTAATAATGTGTCATTTGAAGGTCACATCTCTAGATCACCTGATTTATATGACTTTAAGAAGGACATTGGTCCTTAAAGTCAGTGACCTGAAAAAAAAAATGCTGAACTGGCAGTGAGATTGTGACTATAGACTTGTGCATGATATTTTTAGCAGGCAAAGTTTGCTTAAGAGGTCAGGGAGGTACATGAATTTGCCTTGTAATGTAAGGGTTTTGAATACTGTTGGCTTGATTGCTCTGAATTGCATTACATAATTTGTCTCAGATTTATGGTAAATATATAATGTATATAATTGACATTGCAATTTTTTTATTATTTACACTTTGTTTTTCATGTTTATATGCTAATAAGAAGATAGCAAGAACTTAATAATGTTAGTTAGTCTAATAGCTACACACATAATTATAATGTGTTCTGGTAAAATGTTAAATTTGCTTTGATGTGCTTCAAAATTAGGTTTCGAATGGTTTCTTCCATTTAGTTTTTACCAATCACTGCAGATAATGTTTTAGCCAATGTACTGTTCCCAATAGTACCTATATGATTTAGAAAGAGATATCAATATAGGTCTGTCAGTTGTAATTATATTAAAATGCAGTGTTCTGCTTTATGGCCCCCAGGCAGAGTATATCACAGGAAAGTTCACATTAATGGCTAATAATGTGTCATTTGAAGGTCACATCTCTAGATCACCTGATTTATATGACTTTAAGAAGGACAAAAGTAGTCATTTTCACTAGGTTACAAGGTTATAGTTAAAGATTCACACACTGAAAGGCTGAAAGCCACGTTTTCACGTGCTGGAGTTTACATAAGCTTATGTGACTTGCGTCAAATATATGGCTTAATAACTGATACTGTCTATTTCATTTTCGGTCCTGATTAACAGTGCCACCAGTGAGTTACTATATAACTGGAAATCCAAAGGTTAGCGGCGGCGTGTCATCACCCTGTAGGTTACTGGGTTACAGTAGGCACTCAGCCAGACATATTAACGTCTCATTGGTGCTAATAATTCAAACACGTGTGAGTTGGGTAGGGCACCAAGTGATGAACCATTGACGTATATATGCCAGGTAGGGCTGGTATTATGGTTGTAGTGTGTGATTATATAAAGGCTATGATTTTGTTGTGACTTTTCTACAGTGGGCAGGACTGCTTTATTTACACGTGAGAACGACAAAGAAACGTGTTTCAAACAAGTCAAGAGGACAAAAAAAGTTCTAATCCAATCAGAATTTAAAGTCAAAATTATGCATTTTTAAATATATAATTCAGTGTATTATTCCAAAATGTGCACTACCATTGATTTAAAAAATATATATTTTAAATAGTGTTCAAAAGTTTGGGATCTGTAAGAATTTTTATTTTTGTTTATAGAAGTCCCTTAAGCTCATCTTTGGTCAAAAATACAGTAAAAACAGTAATATTGTGAAATATTATTACAGTTTAAAATAATGGATTTCTATTATAATATTCTTAAAAATATAATTTATTCCTGTGCTGGAATTACTCCAGGCTTCAGTGTCACATGATCTTTCAGAAATCATTCTAATATGCTGATTTATTATCGATGTTGGAAAAAAGTTGTGCTGCTTAATATTTTTGTTCTTACCTCAAACTTCTGAATGGTAGTATATATTGTTATAAAAGATTTCTATTTTGAATACATTTTTAACTTTTTATTCATCGAAGATTCCTGAAAAAAGAAAAAATTAAGCAGCACAACGGTTTCCAACATTGATAATAAATCAGCATATTAGAATGATTTGTGAAGGATAATGTGACACCGAAGACTGCAGCAATGACTGACGAAAATCCATTTTGGATCACAGAAATAAATTATATTTTAAAGTATATTAAAATAGAAAACCATTATTTTAAAATGTAAAAATATTTCTCAATATTACAGTTTTTTCTGTATTTTGATCAAATAAATGCAGCCTTGGTAAGAAGAGACTTCTTAAAAAAACATATATATATATTATGATTTTATTTTATTCATTTGGCGGGGGGCGGGTTCCAAGTTTTAAGAATAGAATGAATTTCATTGCACCTTTTTTTTTGGCCATTTTCCAATGAGTTTTAATCAACTGACCACAAAGGTAATTTTTGCGAATGAATGATGCGAGACATGTAATCCATTAACATACTCTACTCTCTTTCAATCCTACAATCCTGTTGGGTAAAAGAGTGGTAAGTCACAAATCAGTAACCTGAAGGTGTCCTTCCTTAATATGGCCCATCTCAGTTCCTGACCAGGACCAGAAAACTTGGCTCTGGTCAGAAGACTATTTATTTCTTCAGAGAAAAGGGATAAGAGTTTATTTTTCCCCCTGCCATTTTAATGGCAACATGAAGGGATGAAAACCAGTCATGGCCTGTTGTTGGTCCAGACAGCTGTCTAGCATCTTTTATGTGCACTTGCTGGGATTAATCCTTTGAAGGAAGCAGTGTTTACAAGCCGAAATGCCTTATCTGTTAGGCTAAAGGACACTGGACAGACACAACGAGGGGAGGCCAGGGACACCCACCTTTGAACACTCAGTTTAGGCTCTCTGGGACCAGACAGATGCCTGCCCTTTCTATAGGTTGTACCACAGTAGTGGATCAGAGAGTGTTGTGCATACTTCACTTTGATGTGAGTTTGACTTTTTCAACTTTCGATGTTCTACTTTTGATGGAGAGCGAAGTTAGAAGAAGAGCATGCAACTGAAGAGGTGATTTTATCTCCTGTGCAGTGATCGCGTCCAGATTAGTTTTGTCACATCTTGCCCTGGTTTCTTTTGACGTACTTAAGCATACCTTCCACTTGTCAAAAGACAAGGGTTTCTGATTTTTGAGATTAGGGGTGTGCAAACAAAAACAGACCCAGAGAGTGCACGCATGCCTACCTGATGTATAGTAGACTACTGCATGTGCGTATTTAGAGTTCACGCTTTTACTGCGTGAATTAGTCTATTAAAATACATTTAGAATTCCCCCAAAATTCAAGAATAGGTGGCAAAAATGCCCCTGTATGACTTTTATATTATGTCTCATCTGACTTGCATTTTAGACACAAAGGTTCCTGTTTTTGCTGTATTTTGACAACGAAAATAGTTCCAAACAAAGCCACAGCAGAACTGTTTTGTGTCTCTAAGCAACGCACAACAGTGGTTCGTTACTGAATCAATCAGCCGTTTGAACGAATTGGTTGAATGAATGACTCAATGACTCACTCATGCAGTGATTTGTCTGGCGATGTTAGGTATTATTATTTAAAGTCTTTGTAAATGCATCTAAATGCCACATCCGATGCAGATTCTGGGCCACCGCTGCATTGCAAACACAAATTTTGTTGATACTGATTTCATTTGATTGGTAACAGCCCTGTAGTGTCTTAGAATTTGAATTTATTGATTAAATCTAAGAATTTGCCACAAAAGATGGTGCATACGTTTAATTAGGTATGAAAAAAATTGGCCTTATAAAGGTAAAAATGCCCATAAAAGGTAAAAATCAGTTTAAACTTAAAAGCTATTTTCTGTTACTCCTGCAAACTAACCACCGCACATAATATGAAGAATATCAAAAGCTTTGGGAGTCAGCTGTCCACGGCTGTCCTAAACCTTTCAAAGTACCAGCAAAATAACATGCTCGGCAAAATATCGTCTAATTATCGTTATCAACAAAATTCCAGAAATCATTTTTTGTCATTATCACACACCCCTATTTGAGATGGAAAATTTCAGATGATTGACTCATTTTCTCTCTGTGTTTATTCCCGTAGAAATACAAATGTCGTCTACATTCCCTCTATGCTCCCCACCATGAATATGGGTTGATCTTCTGGCTCCTTGCTTCACTTCTTCAAACCTATTCCAATGTCTGAGGACTCAGAATCCAAACCGTACCTGTTCTCCTCCCTGGAGGGGCAGAGTGAAGCAGCCGGATGCAGTTCAATGTCGACGCTGCATCGTATGGGCAGTTTCGCGGAGGGGACCAAACTTGGCCTGGCATCTGAAGGTAGCGACAGCAGCCAAGACACTCCCGCCTCACCCCACAACAAACGGAAGATGGCCCATTCCCTCCATGAGGATGTGGAGATGAAGAGCAGCAGGTCCAGTGGGAGTGGAACAGAGTCTCATGGCAACGAGTCCCATGGTAATGATTCCCATGGAAATGAGTCCCATGGCAATGAGTCTTCTGGGAGTTCCAATAGCCGAAGCAAGGATTTGGCGCTATTAGAGTCATTGGCGAGTAACAAAAGGTAATTTTGTTATATTCTGTTTGTCTGTATATTTATGGGTGCCTCAAAGGCCCTGTGTGCATCCCAATCAGCTCAGTAGGCAGGGCACTGATCAGGGAGTCAGCCATTTTAATCTGGCTGTCTCAATCGCGCTGGAATTTTCACTCCCTAAAAAAATCCCACAATACACTGCAAAAACCACTATGACCCCCTACCAGAAATTACGCCACATTCTGAAACGCGAAACATAAAATTCACAAGCCAACTAAATAAATATAATAGACACATGATAGAAGATCTGAAAAGACAAACCATTTTTTTTAAGTATATTTTACATCACTAGACAGGTAATGAACACATCTTGTTAAAGGGGGGGGGTCTAATGCTATTTAATGCATTCTGAGTTACTTACACTGTTAAAGAGTTGGATTCTCATACTAAATATGGCCACGGTTTCAAAAAATGGTTTGGACGTATGATAGAGTATTTCTGTGCCAACTACACTACTTCCGGGTTCTGATAAGTCTCGGAAAGTTTTTTTTGAGTATGGCCCTGTATAACGTCATGAAGGGTGTAATTCCTTGTATGGGCACTTCTCCCGGAAGAGCGCGCCCATACAGCAAATAGAGCGAGAGCAAGTGCACATTGTTGTTGAAGTGCGCTAGCCAGATGGGATTTAAACTTTGCTGGCTGAAATCGTAAGTTTGGTTTGAAGACCCTACCCTCAAATAAATCAGGAAAGTGGTCAAAAGTGGCCAAAAGAGAACAGCAGGTGTAAACGGGATCAACTTGTAATCCGATCAACCAAAACACATTTAACACCAGGTGTAAACAGGGCCAAAATGTTTGACAATAGCTAAATGTACCCAGAACTGATTATTCTGAATCTGTATACACTAACATTCAAAAGTTTGTTTAAAAAATAAAATCTGTAAAAATAGTAATATTTCGAAAAATGATTACTATTTAAAATAACCGTTTTGTTTTATTCTGAATCTACCGTTCATAACACTACTGTTCAAAAATTTGGGGTCTGTAAAGGTTTTTGATGTTTATGAATAAATTAATTTATGTTTATGCTCACCAACGCTGCATTTATTTGATCAAAGGTATAGTAAAAATAGTAATATTTAAAAAAATATTATTACAATTTAAAATCAATTTTTTTCTATTTTAATGTATTTTAAAATGTATTTTTTTCCTGTGATACAAAGTTGATTTTTCAGCATCATTACTCCAGTCTTCAGTGGCACATGATCCTTTAGAAATCATTCTAATATGCTGATTTGCTGCTCAAGAAACATTTCTTATTATTATTAGTGTTGAAAACAGTTATGCTTCCAAACTTTTAAAAGGTAGTGTAGTGTGCTTATAATGGTCTAGGAACTGAACTGTAGTTGAGGGCAAAGTTCTGCTTCACCAGCATTTCACCTTTCAGGACTACTGCTGCCAATTTGTTATTTACATTTCACTATTGAGCATTTTACAGTCTTTATATAGTTATGATTGTAAATAGCATTTTTTTTTCTTTGGAACTGATTGTGCATAGATAAAATATCTTTGCAAAGTTAACGTATCCTGCTGTGTGACATGCCTACTATTGCCATATATATAAACAACATTATGTTAATAATTTTTTAATGATTTGTATGCAGCTATAATAACCTCAAACTGACTGACAGACTACATGCAATATTTGTACTTTTAACAGTGTATAACATTGTTAAATAACATTGTTATTTAATAATATATGTATAACATTAAGATTTATTTCTTGTACGTGTACAAGCATAATTTGGATTGCACAATTTCTAGATTAATCTCCATGGAGACAGTTTGTTTGTTTGACAGTATTGACTATTGAGTCATGTAGCAACCCTATGCCAAGAGGTTGCATGCAGACACTCGTGCAATTTGTTTAACCATTAAAGTGCTCTGGTAGTGTTTTGGTTTGCCAATAGAGGGTAAACCACAGAATCTGAATACCTTTTCATCAACAACAGTGAGTTTTTCTGTCTCCTAAGTAACGCTGACGTCATTTCTAGCCTCTGTTCTCACCTGATTTATTTTTGTGATTATTGTAAGCTCACTGGAAACTATTCTGTGACAAAAACATGCAGTGACATTTGATGAATTCTTTGTGTGTATTCAAAGCCTTCAGTTGCAAGGCCAAAACTGTCGTTATTTTTGTTTTCTTCGCGTACAAAAAGTATTCTCGTCGCTTCATAACGTTACGGTTGAACCACTGATGGCAGATGGACTATTCTGACGATGCTTTTCATACTTTTCTGGACCTTGACAGTGTAATTTACTTGGCAGTCTATGGGACAGTCACAAGCCTCCCGGTTTTCATCCAAAATATCTTAAATTGTGTTCCGAAGACGAACGAGGCTTTTACGGGTTTGGAACGACATGGGGGTATGTGATTAATGACAAAATTTTCATTTTGGGGTGGAGTATCCCTTTAATGGGATGCTTCCTTGTGAAGACTTTCAAGAGATTTAAAAATAGAAGCGTGATGATCGTGGTTGCCATAGCAGACGTTCCAGATGTTGGAAGTGGCAAATAAAAAGCTTGACGCTACCATGGTGAAAAGTTGTTGAGATATCTCATTAACACGAACACGTGCGTTATGTTTATTTTTCAGGATTCATTTTGTAATTTAAATATTTGTGCTCAAACAAAGACATTAAATAAAGTCAACAAGAGTTATATTTGGCTCTGCTTCATTGAATTATGATGTTTATCTGCCATGGCCATGTCTAGCCCATTTTGGGGTTTTTTTAATCATTTTATTTTAGATTTTTTATTTTATTTTATTTGAATAATTTTTCATATATTTTTTTTTTTATTTAATTTTATCTTTTTTTTTTGATTGATTGATTGATTTTTTTACAAAACAAAGCCTGGTATTGACTACAGAATATATTGTGAGGTTGATGGCATTAAATTAAATCCATTAACTAATATATAAAAACTTTTGTACTTAAGCTGTGTTTAAATGTAGATAACAGACTGTGGTTGTTGAATTTTCCAATGTGTTTCACATGGCATTACAGCATCAATTTATTTTTGGCTAAAAGTGTAAGTATGACTGAACTATTAGTTATTTCCTCCTCATAAGACAAAATTACAGAATTTAGTTTTCTTTCAGGCAGCATAATGCGTCAGAATGCTGTAAGGTCTCTCAGGACACTGTGAAGTATCATTATCACATGATACCCAAATATGAATGCTGTTCAAGAAATGAATGAGACAAAATAATAATAAGAGGAAATTAAGTAAATAAATAAATATTTTAATATCACAATACCATATTATAAATTTTGATTAAAAATATTAGCACCTGTCGTTGCCAGTAGCCTCATGGGCAGCGGGCTGACATATACTGTATAGCGCCATTGCGCTTCGGGCGGCCCGAGTTCGAGTCCCGGCTCACAGACCTTTCCTGACCCCGCCCCCTCTCTCTGTCCCACCTCACTTCCTCTCTAAATACTATCCTATCCTGTCTGGTAGGATATTACTTAAAGTAATAATAACAATAATAATAATAATATTTATAAATTGACCTAGAAATCTGGAAACATTTATAGACTGCTTTATAACTTTCGCACTACCAGAGCTGGCATTTAAGTCTGTCCAAGTCTTTGGATCTAATCATCAGAACATCTTTTTTCAAACAATTTTTCATTTCAAGTTTTGGCATATTATTAGCATAGTTTTCTAGACAGCTAGTATAGTAGTATCCATTCTGAAAAGGAAATTGGGTGGAAACTCTGGACAGCTGTAGTGCCCAGCTCCATCAGTGCGTCACTGTAAGTATTTCCCAGACATATGCGCCACGGTTTCCATTGATAACGTACTGTTTGTTCTTGTGTACAGGACGGGTGCGGTCCAGTGAGAGCTCTAGAAAAGTTTAGAGTTTCTGCCTTTCGTTAGTCTTTCTTTCTCTTCTACAACTTTTTTCCTTAGCTAGCAGTCAGTCTTTGACTTTATAAAAAAGAAGAATATATTGATTGTTCTTGAATTTGAATTGTTAGTCTATCTATCTATCTATCTATCTATCTGTCTGTCTGTCGTTCATCCTTTCATCTCTGTCCGTCCATCCATCCATCCATATATCTATCCGTCCGTCTGTCTGTCTGTCTGTTGTTCATCCTTTCATCTATCTGTCCGTCCATCCATCCATCTGTCCGTCTGTCCATCCATATATCCATCTGGCCGTCTGTCTGTTGTTCATCCTTTCATCTATCTGTCCGTCCATCCATCCATCTGTCCGTCTGTCCATCCATATATCCATCTGGCCGTCTGTCTGTTGTTCATCCTTTCATCTATCTGTCCGTCCATCCATCCATCGTTCATCCATCCATCTGTCCGTCTGTCCATCCATATATCCATCTGTCCGTCTGTCTGTTGTTCATCCTTTCATCTTTCTATCTGTCTGTCCGTCCATTCATCCATCCGTCTTTCATCCATCCATCCATCTGTCTGTCTATCGTATCGTTGGACTTACTTGATTTAATCATGGACATTGGAGCCACATGAATCAATTAATAACAGTTAAACAAACATAATTTGTTCACAGTCTGACCCAATTAACTAGTCTCAAAGTGATTTTCTTTGGTTCCATGACAATTAATTTTTTGAGTTTCACATATTTTGTCACATGATTTAATTATAAGATTGCACTAGATAGCTAAGAAGCTATGAGTTAATAAAAGACAGATGGCAAATTCTGCCATTTATTGGGATGTATTGGCCATCATGTTCTCCATTGTCATCAGCCTTTGAAAAACCCATAATGGTCAATTATATTAAATTCTTACATTCCTGTACTAGTATACCTGTTCAAGTGTGTTGAAGGCTAAGTCAGCATGTTATAAGGCCACGCTTCCTTGCATGTGTAGTTGTATAAATAATCTTCTAAATTCTCCAATCTCATTAGCCTCCTGAAATGACTGACTGTACCAGTAGCATCGAAACACATTGCCCTGCAAGACTAACACAGATGTGCTTTATATAATTAACTCACCTACAGCTAAGAAGTGCAACATGTGAAGCCCGTTTCTATTCAAAGCTACTTAGTGGGCTATTTATAATCACTCCTGGTTTATTTATGTTCCTCAGCATGTCACCTGCAGCTGAACTTTGGACTTGTTATAGTATTAAAGTTGAGCGGTTTAATCCACTTTGGTCTGTCTCAGTTAACTACTGTACTAGAAGCCTGCAATGCAAGCTATTCATAGCTGTGCTAATGGTGGCCTGGCTGGGAAATGACACATGGCGTCGTGTTTTTGTGGTAAAGTAAGGATAGTGGACAGGTGAAGATTGTATAACTGAGATGGAGGGCAATGTCCAAGTGACCTCCATGTGGAACAGGAGCACCTATTTTCTGTTTAATTTTCCACAATGATTGAAAATGTTTTGTGAGAATGAGGTTTTGAGCTGAAGCTACTGCTTGATTTTTCTCTTGCAACAGCCGGTCCTGACTGGCTTCAGCTGGCATACTGAATTAATCATTTCTAAATAATGTCGTCATGTTCGTTGTGTGGATACACTATGTTTCTGAGTCAAACCTGATGTCAAACAATTTGAGATTGATGCAGATATACAGTATTATGTGTGTGATTCTTTGTTGGTTTGGGCCACTTTATTAATTTTATACTTCATTTAAGCACAATTGTAAAGCAATAAAGGGTATCATACCTGACAAAATGACATCTGCGGAGATTACTATTCATAAAGGATTTGTCTGTAGTTTATGACTTGTTTTATGATGGCTTCATGTGTCTTCACTCTTTTTACAGCTCCAACTCTCATAGTCCTTCACCGCCCAGCAGCATGAACGCCTTCAGCCTTCTGAGCGCCAGTTCAGAGCAGGACAACCCATCTTCCAGCGGCTGCAGGTTAAACATGAACACACATGACCCTTCTACCAGTACTTTTATTTTATTTTATTTTATTTAAGTTTTATATGAAGTTGTTCTGGACCCATCAATAAAGAACTACTTTTTTTTTTTAGCCAAACATTTTTATATTTGCTACAAATATTTATTTATTTTCAAGATGTTTACAAAATAACTTGAATAATTTCATTCAAACTTGATGTATTCTGTACTTTGCATATTATCATTATCATTATTGTTATATTTAGCAGTAGAAGAGAATGATGTGTTTAGAATGGGTTTTATTGCTGACATATTTGTGCATGTGTTTTTTGGGCACCTGCAGTAGCGAAGAATCCGCCAAGGCGAAGACACAGAAAGAATTGCTTAAAACTTTGAAAGAGCTGAAGCTTCATTTGCCGCCGGAAAAGCGGAACAAGGGCAGCAAGTCGACGACGCTCAACACTCTGAAATATGCCCTGCGCTGCGTCAGACAGGTGGAGGGTGAGCAGTACATTATGATGTTCAGTATATCATTACATAAGTCATCCCTAACACTTGCCTGACCACAGGGACATAGTCTTACTGTCTAGTAAATTATCAATATATTTTATGAGTTTTATTTTGCTTGCAATGCAAATGAAGCCTAGGTGCATATAACAACAAATTTAAGACCAAACAAGTCCATTGGTAATACAAGCAATATTTCAGGAACTCTTGGTGAAAATCATGTCACATGATCAGTAAGCTGATCAGTTTTATGTCTGTCCATTTTTAGATTGTGATTTTACAATGCATATCTCAATTAATAATAATCAGTTATTGTGTAGGACTTCATATATATTTTGGTTGTGAAATATGACAATATATCTAATACAGGATTGGTTTTCATTAAATGTTATGCATGAATTAGTGGATAGAACACAAGTAACCAGTCGAACCTGAGCTAATACACTACATGTGTTTTTCATGTTTTTTATTATTAGGCACATATCACATACTTAATTGAATTGGCTTAATGCATTTATTTTGACATTTTTATTTCAGCAAATGAAGAATACTACCAGCTGCTTATGATTAATGATAGTCAGCCATCGGGGCTTGACGTTTCATCATATACCATAGAGGAGATAGACAGCATCACCTCTGAATACACCCTCAAAAACACAGTAAGTATATGTTTTCAATTTATTTTTCAAATTTTTTCTATTTATGAATGTACATTTATTTATTCCAGTTTATCTGTTAGTTATTTTACAGAAACACTTGCATGATTTCATATTTCAGTTGTTCTTTTTCGTAATCATTGATCATGGGATCTATGTTTTACAGGATATCTTTGCAGTGGCGGTGTCACTCATCACTGGAAAGATTGTCTATATTTCAGACCAGGCCGCCTCCATCTTGAACTGCAAACAGGACGTGTTCAAGAATGCTAAGTTTGTGGAGTTTCTTACACCGCAGGACGTTAGTGTGTTTTATAGATTCACCACACCCTACAGACTGCCGTCTTGGAGCATGTGCACTGGCGCAGGTACGACACACACATCAGTCATAATAACTATAGTTAAGTTAAAACAGAGACATACAAGAATCAACAATTAATAATAATCAGTTATTGTGAAGGACTTCATATATATTTTGGTTGTGAAATATGACAATATATCTAATACAGGATTGGTTTTCATTATTTGTTATGCATGAATTAGTGGATAGAACACAAGTAACCAGTCGAACCTGAGCTAATACACTACATGTGTTTTTCATGTTTTTTATTATTAGGCACATATCACATACTTAATTGAATTGGCTTAATGCATTTATTTTGACATTTTTATTTCAGCAAATGAAGAATACTACCAGCTGCTTATGATTAATGATAGTCAGCCATCGGGGCTTGACGTTTCATCATATACCATAGAGGAGATAGACAGCATCACCTCTGAATACACCCTCAAAAACACAGTAAGTATATGTTTTCAATTTATTTTTCAAATTTTTTCTATTTATGAATGTACATTTATTTATTCCAGTTTATCTGTTAGTTATTTTACAGAAACACTTGCATGATTTCATATTTCAGTTGTTCTTTTTCGTAATCATTGATCATGGGATCTATGTTTTACAGGATATCTTTGCAGTGGCGGTGTCACTCATCACTGGAAAGATTGTCTATATTTCAGACCAGGCCGCCTCCATCTTGAACTGCAAACAGGACGTGTTCAAGAATGCTAAGTTTGTGGAGTTTCTTACACCGCAGGACGTTAGTGTGTTTTATAGATTCACCACACCCTACAGACTGCCGTCTTGGAGCATGTGCACTGGCGCAGGTACGACACACACATCAGTCATAATAACTATAGTTAAGTTAAAACAGAGACATACAAGAATCAAAAAAAATCTTTTTTTTATTTCACCTAAAGGTGACAAAACACAAGCACAAATGTGCACAGATACGAAAGGCTTTCTGTTTCTTATTCATTAACAAAACCATTGCTAATTATTGAGGCGTCTTTGTTGTTCTTGAATCCATGAAGCAGCAACCAGTATTAGCTTGAGCTGCCAGCTGATTAAGTCACCTCTGAAAGACAAGATGCTGTTGAATTAAACCTGAACTCATCACTCTTGTTTTTCCTCCTTAAAGAGTCGTCACCATCAGACTGCATGCAGGAGAAATCCTTCTTCTGTCGCATTAGGTGAGTGTTTGTGTGTTTGTGTGTTTGTGTGTTTGTGTGTTTGTGTGTTTGTGTGTGTGTGTGTGTGTGTGTGTGTGTGTGTGTGTGTGTGTTGGAGGGTTGGAGGTATCCTGTACACCATCTGTTCACCATGATTTAATTCATAGTTTCCCCTTTTTTTGAATCAGCCTGGGGAAATTAATTCTGGTGAACTTTTGTCCCTGTGAATAGGAAGATTTGATTACTAATACATTTGACATTACTATAAAAAAAACATGCATTCAGTAAACAGTCAATTGCTAATAAAAACACTTGGGTGGTAGAACAGGATTTCTGGAACTTTCCAATTCCAATTGGGAGGGTATCAGTATCTAATTAGTGTAGTCATGGAATTTCAGATTTGACTGTTTAACAATAATATTACGTAATATTACGTATTTTACGATTGTCAAAAGTACCGACGTCGTTACTGAAATTTTAAAAATGTCACGATACCAGCATTTCCCGCTAGCATTTTGAGCGTGTTGAGTGGATTCTTAAATGCCTCTGATCGCTGTGTTCATGTGCTCAACAGATATGTCTGTGATTGGCTACAATGATCATCGCTTGAAAAACATGTTGTAAATACACATCTTTCACGCTCTTCACCAAGCACTTACACAGATACAAAAAAGGCTAAGCGTCCCAGTACTATAGATAATTGCTTCTCAAAGAAAACCAAAACAGATATTGCTGATGGAGGACCGGTAAACGAACAGAAAATTGTCATTCATTCAGAGGAGTATTCCTGATGTCAGCAATTTGAAGCGGTTAGCCAAGCCTCCACAGACAGCGGACGTCCTGAGCGAGATCCAGTTCACGGACCTAAAACGTGTGCCAACTTTATTGAGATTAGGCCATATCAACCAGTAATGTCATTTACAGCAACAGACAGTAGAGCGTTCAGGAAAGAATGATATGCGATTTATGACCGGCCTGAATATAGTCCCACCATTGTTCGAGGCTTTCGTTTCAAGTGTCACGCATTTGGTGGCAATGAGTCGAAAACTGAGACTTTTCAAGTCACTGGATTTGGCAACTGGAAATAAGCCACTGAAAAGTTCAGTGTTCATTAGAAAAGCAACATGCACATTTCTAGTTAAAAATGAAGGGCCATCAACAGACGGGCAAAGCATCGCCACTCAAATCAGCAATGAACAAAGTTCAAAGAGTCAAAACTAGTCCATAGTCTAGTAAACCTTGGCAGCCTCTTTAAGTTACTTTTAACATTGTAATGATACGTATATTTGTAAATATGTTTTTTGTGCATTTTTTCTTGCCTCTCCTCACTCAAGAGTTAAATGCCTACAGATACGATTTTCTAAAAAAAAAATTAACAAAATGAGATTTAAGACAAATTATGAATGAAAACGTGTCCTTTTATTATTTCTCAGACTAAATGCTGCACATTTCTTTGTAAAATTGAAATATGTTAAATAACAAAACTACATTGAAATTTTAAAACAAATCCCAAATCAAATAAATAAATAATAGAAATGAAAGAAATCTCTCTGAAATCTCAAACTCAGGTTTTGCCTGTGCTCTTTGCATTTAAAATTAGAGGTAACCACAGCATTTTAATCACAATCCAAAAAGAAGCAAAAAACAGAACGGTCTGACTTTAGCTTTGTGAAACAATGCTACCTAAAACATCTGAATGAAACAAACAGCACTCTTTTGTTTTTTTCTTTTCTTTTCTTTTTTTTTTTGAGAGAAGCAAAAAACAGAACGGTCTGACTTTAGCTTTGTGAAACAATGCTACCTAAAACATCTGAATGAAACAAAAAGCACTCTTTTGTTTTTTTCTTTTCTTTTCTTTTTTTTTTTGAGAGTGCACTTGTGATCAAACCTACAATTTTTGTGTGCAGGCCAGATCCTAAACCATTTGCAAATTATAAAATTAATGTCTGCTTTAATAACAATTAATTTATGCTTCTTAAAAGACCATTTTATCTAAAGGTTTATACTTAAATGCTTGAAATTAGTTTTGTAGACATGAAATGTGCCTCCGTATGCGTTTGTTTAGAAATCATACTGTTTTAGAATAGATAGGAATGGAAAATCTCACTAGGTTGTAGTAGGCTGCTTACATTGGACAAAGCTGATGTTTATTACCAGATATTTTTGTTGAATGTATGTGTAAATCTCTCCTGTCCTGTTCTCCAGCGGTGGTAAAGAGTGTGAGGGAGATCGTCAGTACTATCCCTTCAGAATGACTCCTTACTTGATGAAGGTTCAGGATATGGAGCACTCTGAAGATCAGTTCTGCTGCCCCCTGCTGGCCGAGAGAGTGCACTCTGGCTACGAAGGTCAGTTCTTTTACACAATCTTCTGTATGTATAATGCATTTTTTTAATCATTTTATAGTAGCATTGAGGAAAACCGAATCATTTTAGCAAATCGATTCATTAGGACAATGAATTAAAGAGAACTGATTCTCTGAATTATTTGTTGTCGACTTAGTAATGTTTCAAGAGGTGCATATTTTTTGGTGTCAAATAAATTTGTTTTTGATTCAGTTATTTAAAGAATAGTATTTTTTAAACACTACCATTCAAAATTTTTATTATGTTTATTCCTCAGCTCCAAGGATCCCCACGGACAAACGAATCTTCACCACAACACACACTCCCAGCTGTGTGTTTCAGGATGTGGACGAGAGGTAAGTGTGCTAATGCTTCACTGTTGACGGACCTGACGATGATTAGCTGGTAACTTAAGCACTGGGTGTTTCACGCAACAGCTGTACCTCTACACCTGATGTTTTCCATTTCTCATAATCATGCATATTAAAGCCAATAACAGTTTTTGTCAGACTAATCAGAATTGTTATGTGATGTTTTCTTGTAGGGCCGTTCCATTACTAGGATACCTGCCACAGGATTTGATTGGCACACCTGTCCTGCTGCACCTACATCCCAGTGATCGACCAGTCATGCTTGGCATCCACAGGAAGAGTGAGTCACGCTGTTCATTCTATTTAGTCTTTGCTCTGTCGATTTAGTTCATTAAAGGTTATGTTTAACTTTTTTATGGGAAGGTGCTTTCTTCTATCTTAATCAGAGAGAACTAGAAGTCTATTGTTTTGGGACAAATTTGGGTGGATCATTTTTTAAAATAAAAAAATGGGTTTTAAAAATTCTATTTGTGAGTAAAGACTTTTTTTTTGTCCCATTAGTCCTCCAGTATGCTGGCCAGCCGTTTGACCACTCGATCCGCTTCTGCGCTCGTAATGGAGAGTACATCACCATAGACACCAGCTGGTCCAGCTTTGTCAATCCGTGGAGCCGCAAAGTTTCCTTCATCATTGGCAGACACAAAGTTCGCATGTGAGTGCATAAGCTGAAAAAGAGAACGTATCTGAGACAAGCTTGATATTTGTTAAAAAATGTAATTGCTGAAGATTTTTTTTTTTTTTACAAGAAATTAATACTTTTATTCAGCAAGGATGCATTAAATTGATTAAAAGTGACTGTAAAGACATTTAAGTGTTGTTCTGTTGATCTTTCTATTCATCAAAAAAAAAAGTATCACAGTTTCCACAAAAATATTAAGCAGCTCAACTGTTTTCAACATTGATAATAATCAGAAATGTTTCATGAGCAGCAAATCAGCACATTAGAATGATTCTGAAGGATCATGTGACACTGAAGACTAGAGTATTTCAGCTTTGCATCACACGGTACAAATTTACTTTTGTGCCTGAAGCAATACGTTTATGTGATAAATCTAGTTAATTTAGATGATTTATTTAGTGAATTTTTTTTATTTTTTTTATTTGTTTCCCCCTTTTTATGTATTTGGTGTATTTTAAATGTATGTGTGTGAGTGTTAAGTGTTGTATATGTGAAGCACCACGAAAGTCTGAATTAATTGCCCCAAGGGGATTAATAAAGCTCTAAACTAAAACTAAAAAACGAAATAGCGACTAGTTTTGCAGCAAAGCTCATCTGGCTGTGTGTAGTGTAATGACCTCTTGCTCTTGCTGCATGAAGACGTTGTCTTGGGTTGTAAGAGTGCTCTCTTGTGTCTCACACAGGGCAGTGTTGTGTTACTATTACGCATGAAGAGCCTCTGAAAGATTAGCACACGAACAGAAGGGAAGCTTCTTACCGTTGTGTTAAAGTAACCACACCAAATAAAGAATATTGGTATTGTTATAAAGCACAGAACGGCACTGAAACCCTCAACAGGGGAGACATTTCAGTTATGTTTTTACTGTATCAAATAAATGCAGCCTTGGTGAGCATAAAATACTTCTTTCCGGAAAAAAACTTTTGAATGGTAGTGTAACTGTAATTTTGTCCATTCTACCAGGGGTCCAGTGAATGAAGATGTGTTTGCAGCTCCAGCTGCAGCTGAGGGCAAATCTGTAGACTCCGACATCCAGGAAATCACTGAGCAAATTCACAGACTCCTGCTGCAGGTACGGAAACTCATTCACAGTGGAAAGAACCAGATTAACCGAGTTTACAGGAAACTGGCTTTTACATCCTGCCACATGATGTCAGAGATTCGTGGATGAGACTGTGTAACAGACAGACTGTAGTTTAGTGTATGATGCCCAATTTTTTCTCAGTAACCATTTACAAAGTTGGCGAAGTTATGATGCCTAGTGTTAAAATCTGGTGTTGTGTACGCCGTCCTTTTGGATGAGAGGAGTGAAAGTCACTGATAAAAACATGTTTTTGTGTGTTGCAGCCGGTACACAACAACGGTTCGAGCGGCTATGGGAGTCTGGGCAGTAATGATCACCTGCTGAGTGTGGCATCGTCTAGTGAAAGTAACGGTAATGGAACACACCTGCGACAAGAGGAAGAGGATGCCAGGAGAGCCAAACCGGTGAGTCACATGATGAATTCTAGTTCAGTGGTTTTTTCAGTGGAGCCATTTTTGAAAGTCAAATGCTTCAAGGTCACTTTTTTATTCATGCATTGAGGCTCTGGTGGATTTATTTGTCTTTGTATGTGTCTGTTTTCTCAGAGGAGCTTTCAGGAGATCTGCAAAGGGGTTCACATGCAGAAAAACCAGGAGCAGCAGTCCAAGAAGAGCCCTACTAGTATGTACAAATATCCTCCACCATCTGTGCACCCTCATCTGTCATCAAAGTCTGTGTTTTTTGGCATGTAGCTCAAATCTGTGTCTGAAGACCAGGGATCCATGATGGAGAGAGATTATATTAACAAATATTACAGATGTGATTTGAACTTTGATTTTAAAACACTTAACATCTGTGGCTGGCACTTACAGGATAAAGGAACAAAAATGCATCAAATCTCATTGAAAAACCCTTCACATGGTTTCCTCTATTGTAAAAGAAGTGCATTTTTAGTTGACTCAAAAATGAGGGAAAAACATCCAGCATTTATTCACAAATGCAGCATGTTAATAATTTTAATATAATATCATAGATTTTATATATTATTTATTTATATTGCTTAAATACACTAGTGTTCAAAAGTTTGGGGTCATTAATTTTTTAGAAAGAAATTAATACTTTTATACTGCAGAGATGCATTAAATTGATCAGAAGTGACGGTGAAGATTTATATTTCAAATAAATGCTGTTCTTTTGAACTTTCTATTCATCAAAGTATCCTGAATTTTTTTTTTTTAAATATTATGCTTTTTCAACATTGATAATAAATAAATAATAATAAGAAGAAATGTTTCTTGAGCACCAAATGAGCATATTAGAATGATTTCTGATTTTTTTTCCCCCCATGTTACAATCCCGATATATTTTTCACACTAGGTCACTAGGCAATTCCAATTTTAATATGACTAATTGCGCAGCCCTTCTGAAGGCCTTTTTTTCTCTGCAGAGTTTCTACAGAAAAGTCCAGTGGCTCGACCCAAAGATTCTGCGTATCCTGTGAACTTAAGAGAGTCTCCTGTGGAGCAGCGTGCAGGCCTTCAAGAGGAGCTGGCCTTCAAAGACCAGACCGTCTACTCCTATCAGCAGATTAGTTGCCTGGACAGCGTAATCAGGTACAAAGACGCAAAGTCACGTCACAGTGAAAACTGATGGTGCATGGACAGAGACTGTCTCGACTCACTTAACCAAATTTAATGCACTTATTGATTCTGTAATGCAAATAGAGTACGAGAAACTGAATTAAGCGTGCCATGAAGATGAATGAACTTGTTTTCATGAGTCGGCAGAGGACATTAGGTTTTGCAGGATGTGAAGTCTCATTAGCGTTCTTTCTCAACAGGATAATCGTGTTACATATTTAGCCTAAAGCCTAAAACAATGGAAAATGACACAAAATCTCAGTTTTAATGAATTTGACTGATGTGTTTGTATATAGTTAAAACATCCCTCTTAAAGTTAGCAAATATTTACTGTAAACATACTGAGATTTTTATTGATGATATTTTCAGTGAGGGAATTCAAAGAGATTAGAAAAAAATTGATAGGATTTTGACAGACGTGTTGTACACTTAAACCACAATAATCAAATGATTGTAGGGTCATAATGGTACAAAACAATGGAATAAAGACAAGTAGATCAGATGGGTTTTTATGTTATATTCAGCCCGGTTAGCCGTTTGTAAACCTCGTTTCATTGATGGTGTCTTTCTCTCTCCATCAGGTATTTGGAAAGCTGTAACGTGCCCATTACAGTGAAGAGAAAGTGCCAATCCTCCTCAAACACAACGTCCTCAAACTCAGACGAAGACAAGCAGAGAGGTGTTGAGAGCTCCATACAAGTGTCTGAAGGTACTGAAACAAATCCACTTTCCAAGATTATTTTGCATAATTGAGCAGGCTCCCAAATTTTTTAATTTTTTATAAAATCCCATTCATTTTCTCCAGAGAGAAATGTTAACAATAACACATAAAAAATGTTTAAAACGGACCTGCCATAAAAAAAAGTTTCACCCCAAAAACGTTTGTAATTTTATTTTTAAGTATTAATTTATTTTATTTTTATTTAATACATTTTTTTAAATTAGCAATATTATATTCTATAAATTCAGTGGCATACGTACGTGCTCTCACACCACACGTTCATTTTCTTACGGAGTGAAAAACATCGCAGAGCAAAGAGGACACAGACAACGCGCTGAGAGACAAGACGAGCAGGTTACTTTTGACAATAGGAAACAAAGTCTCAGCATTCAAATCCTGTTAGTTTTATTAAGAATTTCAAATGATAAATACAGTTTTGGAGTGGCATGCCGATTCACTCTTTGCCTCAGTTCAAGCGAAGCAAGAGTGCATTCTAATTAGCATGAAATAAACATGAATGAACATCCGA